ACCCTGACTCAAGCAGTGACTGTGGAGCCGATTAACATTGAACTACTAGCGTCAATAACCTTGAGTGGAGCATTCAAAGGGTATCTCTTGTAAACGTGAGACTTGCATCAGGCCAAGGGGACTTCCACAATTCATAATTTCAGTTCACCGAATCGAAGTTCCACCCTTTTGGGATTTCACAAACGTCTTGCCCCGGTAATAACACATTGACACGGCCGCCCCTTCCTCAGTTATAGGCACTGAATTCGATGATGTCAGTGGTAGGCGACGGGGGGGGGGAGGGGGAGGGGAAGGGAGGAAGGAGAATAAAGGCAGCGCGAAGGCAGCGCGTTGCTGTTATACATTCATCAACTGCAAAAGAGGAAACGGTTTTGAGGTGTCCATCAATTTCTCTGGCCTTTTTCTTGCTAGTGAATCAATAGTTCGTACTTTACTTACACGAATCGATAACTCACAAATGATCCACAAATAAATAGGTAAATAAATAAGCAAGTGAATAGAGTTGTTGTGGAATGTGTTTTTTGGAAGTAATGAAGAGATAAGTGCGCGGCAGTTTTTGTTTCAAGTTTGAGAACGAGGAATTTCTAAACGCGCTCTCGATACTTTTTCTACCCACTCATAAAGAAAGGAATGCCATCGAAACAAAAAAACGTGCGTAGTCCGTTTGGGAAGAAAACAGAATCGTTGGACCGGTTGGTTACGCGCTGAGGGCGTAACCGTATGGGACGCATGCTACCCCTTGATCGAATAAAGCTTAGCGTAAAACTACGGTGACTCACAGAAGTTATTTTCGCTCGAACGCCGCATTCCAACGATTGCGCGACGCTATCGGTATGGGAAAAGGGCAGTTCGGCGACGGGAGGCGGAGGAGAGGGGGCATTTTGCAGTTTTGCTGTTTCCCATCCACGTGTCGAGCCATCCTCCATCTAAAGAGCCATCTAAAGAGCCTTTTTTCGAATTAACAGGTTTTATCATGTTGGCTCGACGAGCTCGCTCCAGCTATACAAGAGTTCACAGGTTTCACCTGAGTGAGACTTCACCAGACTAGCAAAGCAAAAAATACGCAAAATGCCCCCCCGTCGCCGAACTGCGCCCTACATTTGTTACTGATAAGCGGGTGACAAGAGGAATGTCATCCATTATTAGTCGCCTCTGTTGCATGCGCAATAATGGTTATGGCTTAGTAGATCCGACTTATTTAGGCGCGGCGAAAGCGGTGTCACGTGCGCGGCCCTCGCACCTAAATCTAATTTTTTTTATATAATAGTGCTACAGTAGGTCTAGCTAGCTGCTACGCGTCAAAGCAACGTGGATAGATTGACCCGATTCCTGAGAATCGGCTCTGTATTCGCTGCTGGTGGCGAATTTCTCTATAGAGACCAACTGCTTTATGCACTTTTATGCCTGAACTTTGTGCTACCGTGACTTCTACGTGACAAATGGCAGCGTTGTTCGGCTAGGCCAGGGGCATTATTATCTTCGCACTGGTTATCTTTACTAGTTCCTGTCAGATTACATGTCACACCGTGATGAGACCATGTCAATTGTAAAGGAGCACCAACTATTATATGGCTTGACAGAAATCACAGGCCTTCACAGCAAGCATCGGCACGGAGCTAGCAAAATGCCCCCACCAAGTCAAACTGCGCCCAAATCGTTAATTTCTGACCTTTATCCTGAGTTCTGCTGAAAATGTGTTAGTTAATAGAAGTCTGCATTTTATGCACATTTTCGATGTTTATTTTTGGGTCACTTTGATGTGTCAAGTCTGATTGCATCACGCCGTTTTGAGAACCTTGTACACTCGATGGGAAACTCGCCCATACACACATCACTGACCTTGTGGTCGTGCGCAGACGTTCTCGAAATAGCTGCCTATCTTTGGTTCGTTGCTCGGTCGTCGTTCGCCCAATCTCTCGGACAATGCACATGCCTAAACATTGTTTTCTTTTCATTTACGTATATAGGGGCATTCAGGCTCCTGAAGAATAGTACAATTCGGATGCACGCGGTCGCAATGCGGTCACTGTAGCCGCCGCATATTATCACGGCGCTAATCGGCTTGGAAAGGGCATGTTGGACTTCCGCTAGTTTCTTTTGCTAAATTATGTTCAGTAACAGGTCTCATTTCGGTGATACCTGTAAACTCTTGTAAAGCTGAAATATTGTTCAAGAGAGCCACATTGATTACAAGAATTCACAAGTCTTCACAAGCAAAAGAAACTAGCTGAAGTCCAACGTGCCCCTTCCAAGCCGAGTACAGGCTTCGCCGAGCACTACTTGTTGCCCTCGCAAAGCCGAACTGCGATTATAATATGTTTTGCAGAATACTTCCTTTTCAGGCAATCAAGTGCAGGCATCGTTCTGTACACAACAATGTTGAGCCCTGACTGCATTGAGTTGTGAAGGGAAAACCTTAAGTCCAAGACGGCAGTTTCACAAAAAGGGTTCAAGGTTATCAAGGAGAGGGAAGAGAGAGTCAAACAGCGACGGGACCAGCTCGTGTGCATCCTGCCACAAAAATAGCTATCCGTTCACCCAAGCACAGGGCACGCCACCGTTGTGATGACCACAACAGGGGGTCGTGTTTTTCCTGAGAAAAAATTTTTTTTCGATAGTTGATTTCTCTTATTTCACGGACGCTATAAAGGGGGGGGGCCGCCGGATGCTTCCGAGAGAGAATACCTTTGACGGTCTCACGCCGCCAGCCTCTCAGCCCTAATTTTCACAAAAAGACAGGCAGGCAGAAGAGAGGGTGGGTGTGGGAGGGCCATCACTTGTCGCGGAAATCACAACGCAGAGGTCGTAGGAGGCTGCTGAGAAGGAGGGGGGGAGGGTGTATCTGATCTCAAGAGAAACTTCTTCGGATTGCTGGTTGTTCCGGTTTCACTATTGGTTTTCCTTTCTCCACCACCTGCTTCCTAAGCCCGAGTGAAATAGGATCTGGAAAGGTTTCTACGCCTGTACCCGTCCAGCTACTTTTGCTCAGGGCACGTCCCGCTGTTGGGAGTGGAGTCCTTGCAAAAAACGTCCTCCCCTCAAAATTTTCTGCTCTTGTTCAGCTTTTTCCAGACTACCCTTTTTGTCCCCTCAACGGCACGGAGGTCATTAGTTTGGGTCTCTGTAGAGCTCTCACAACATCGCACCTTCCCTTTCTCCTTCTAACAGGTTGATACGACATTCTTCGTCCTAATACTGTAGTCGTGGGGTAGGCTGGTGTAACGAGACGGAACGGTACTTGCTATTTGCTCGATCAAGAACGGGAACGCGATGTGAACTGGTGATGGAATGACTGGCCGCCGCCATGACCATCACTCTTGGCATTCGCGTTAATCAAGCG